CTGTGGCACATAACTCAAGTTTTTAACATGTACCTTGGTCTGCTGTATGTCTGTCCAACACAACCTCTTGATCTTCCTTGATCAAGATGGCAACATGGCACTTCATACTTGTGTTCTAATAAAACTCACTTCACTAACAAAAAAAAAATGGAATCAAACTTGGAAGAAATCTTGATCTGTTGCACATCTTTCAAAACAGCCGAAGATGTCATGACAGATGTGTCAAGTGGTGTAACCAAGTACACATGTAAAGTCATAAATATACATTTTTGACTGAATGAATACCATGATGTTTTCTTTCCCAAATGGAGGGTTACTTGATTTGACCTGACCAAAACATTTCTTTTTATAAAAAGGTTAAAATGTGTAATGTTTTAAGAGACAACAGAGATATATAAGGGGGTTGTTTCAGTTTTTTGGTTTTCTTGACATAATGTGACAACAACAAGGCATTTTGCCTGTTGGTTACTAGGACTTGGACATTTTCCAATTGTCAAAACAAATTTTTGTTTTAAGAAAATTGTAAAGTAGTAATATTAATATCAATAATAATAGTAATAATACAGTAAATTTTAAACTCCTAATAATAAAATATATTTAATTATATAACTCCATAAGAGATGGTATACACTCACACATACATATTTATGTACAATAATAACAACAAAACATTACATTTTTTAAACATTGGAATACATTTTAAACCAACAATAACTAATAATATTTTTATGAATTAAAAATTATTTAAATATTAAATAATATTTCACATTGGACTTTATTACAATATAGAAATATGTGCCATGGTAACACATAATATCATGGTACTCTGATACAATAATACTGAATGATTACCATATTCATATACCATTGTATTATATGATAATGAATTGTGGGAGATAGTAATGCTATATTGATGGCTAGAGCCCGGTGCAGCAGAAACTAAACATCAGAAGAATCAAATAGATTCCGTTTTCAGAAGCACGCCGTTCAGCTCGTGTATTCCTGTCGTAACATCCGTCGATCTCTTAACGCATTTACGCAAAAAGGCTGACGTCAATGCGCATTCACCACTAGCAAATGTCTCACGTAAATAACCTTGCTCATGCCACTAGTGTAAAAGATTTCCCACGACTACGCAACTGTCGTCAATTGTATACGTAACCTAGAGCCTTAGAACGCTGCTTGCGGATCCCTTCGAGCAGAGAACGGACTTACGTAATAAAACGTGCGTAAGAGATACGTAAATACCAACACCCTGCTATGCACCTGAACCTCTTGAAAAATTATGAATTTAAAATCATTTACATACCGACTCCTCTTCCTTTTCCATTCCGGTTGGCATCTGCGGAACCGCTCGGTTGATGGAGACGCAGTCGGTGAGGTCCGGAAGGTCTTTATTGTGGTAGATCGGCAGCGGTTTGGCGGCGTCTAGCGCTCGCGCGCGGAACGAGAGTTTACTCATTGTTTTCAGCGATCACAAACACACTAAACACGGATCATTCGGGTACAAATACACACACGAGCCGACGGTTCTCTCCGCGGCCGCGCTCACTGACGTCCCTCCAATCGAAATCCGGCGGTTAAAGGCATCTCTGAGCGAGTTCTGGTATTTTTTCACGGGTTTTTTTTTCTAGGCTGGTGTGAAAACATGGCGGACATGATCCCGACAGTCCGCGCGACACTGCCAAAGAGCGTGAGCGGGAGCGCGCGGGTGCCGCTGCGCGCGCACACGGTGTTACGACACGCGGGCACGAGGAGCACATGCGTGCGTCGCAGAGCTGTCACATTATACATTTGTAGACAGTCTGTTACACATCCCCAGTGATGTGTGTAATGTGTTTACATGCCACGCAGCCAAAGATGGCCTACAATACAAAACTGAACCACATATTCAAGATTTTGGGCCACAGAATGTTTAGATTGGAAATCCCATAGGCAGGCCTTGAGCGACAGTTTGTGTATTTGGGGGAGACATGCATCCCTCTTAATAATTAATAATTAAGAGGGATGCATGTCTACCCCAAATGCACATAAACTGTCGATACGAGCCTGTCAATCCAGTCTTATGAGAAAATGTTACTGTTTTATGAGGAGGCAAAGACATTCACACGTAAGTTAAAAAAAAAAAACATAAACATAACGGTCCATCACCAGCCCTATCACTAACCCTAGCCTACTAAAACATAGGAATTGTACAAATTTTGCACGAATTAGTCACCACTCACCAATTTGCCAAAATGTAAAATATTTACAAATTGCAATGACATTATGTTGGTACCTTCACACCCTTCAGGTTAGGCACCATATTGAATTTAACATGAATGTTTAAAAACTAATTTTTACAACGAACAACTTTCAAAACTGTTTATAGATTTCTTGTCTAGAAAGACATTTTGCTGGCTGAACAACCAGTATGTTGTGAAACAACAGTACAATCTATTCAACGCATTGTACTTCTTCATTCCTGTCAAAAAATAAATATGGCGTATTCTGACTAAGTTGTTTTATTACCAATAACGAAAGTGAAGAATTGGGCCTGCTTGCTTTATGACATTTACAAACTCATTCAAATTCCATTAAATACAAGTAAAATCCATAATTACTATGGATTATTCCTAAAAATTGTGGTTGTTTTTACTACTGTTTTGTCACTAAATTTAAACCAGTGAACCAACAACACATATGTAACCCTGGACCACAAAACCAGTCATAAGGGACAATTTTTTTTAAATTAAGATGTATACATCATCTGAAAGCTGAATAAATAAACTTTCAATTTTTTTTCCCACAAACAAATCTAAATATTGAGAAAATCGCCTTTAAAGTTGTCCAAATTAAGTTCTTGGATTGCATATTACTAATCAAAAATTAAGTTTTGATATATTTACGGTAGGAAATTTACAAAATATCTTTAATTAATATCCTAATGATTTTTGGCATAAAACAGAAAATGGTAATTTTGACCCATACAATGTATTGTTGGCTATTGCTACAATATACCCATGCTACTTATGACTGGTTTTGTGGTCCAGGGTCATGTTCAATTCAAATGCAGTTATTTTGTTGCTGTGTTCTTATGTGCCTATAGCTCAAATGATCAAAACGTACTCCACATATTTTATTGTGATTATGGTTACTCTGCTTTTGAGTACATACTGTAATCACAGTAGCCTTTTCTGTTGACATAAGTTTCTTAAATAAATAACTTCCATCCTCCACCATGTTCGATTTCTGATACTGGAATTTGAGATTCATGTGCAGTCTGGTAGCAGGCGGTCAGCCTGCAGAGAGGAAAGTGTATTGGGAGCTGCTTGGAAAAAGTTACCTGCTAAGACACAAATCATTTTTAATGAGAGGAACGAGAAGAGCGCAGAGGCAATCCTATAAAACAGTGGTGGAGATGTGAGATGGATAAGTGGAGAGTGTCTGAGGGCTGCATTGGGTGTTTCTCTGGAGAACATTTCCTATATTGCTTGCACACACTAGGAACAGTAAATTAATTGAAACATTTATGTTGTACGCTACTGTTTAAAAGTTTGGGGTAAGTACGTTAGTCCTTTTTTAATTTCTGTTACAAAAAATTATATTTCAATTAAATGCTGTTCTTTTGAACTGTGTATTCATCAGAAAATCTTCCCTGTTGGAAAAAAAACAGCATATGCTGGTTAGGTATGTTTTGAAGCATGGTAGCTGGTTTAAGCTGGTCCTTAGTTAGCAAAAGTCTTTGAATCACTGATAAACGATCAATTAAAACAATTCTGTCAGCCAAAATAATATTCTTCAGGATTATCAGTCAGGGTTCAGAATGGGACATAGCACCATTACTGCAGCTACATTAGTCTCAAATGATATTATAACCTCTCTAGATAGTAAAACGTCCTGTGCCGCTTTATTTATTGATCTGTCTAAAGCTTTTGATTCAGTAGATCACAAATTAATGTTACATAGACTTAGGTATGTAGGTCTCAGTGAAGCTGCTTTAAAATGGTTCGAAAACTATCTTTCAGAATGCACTCAATGTGTGTCTGTTGAAAATTACAACTCACCTTTTCTTCATGTAAATACTGGAGTTCCTCAAGGATCTGTTTTAGCCCCTTTGTTATTTTCTATTTATATTAATGATTTAGGTCATGGAATAGACTCAGCTAAAATACATTTGTATGCAGATGATACAATTATTTATATGGCAGCATCTTCTTTAAAACAAGCTTTACAGCAACTACAGGATGCTTTTCTAATTTTGCAGAGTTCGTTGTTGCAGTTCAAATTGGTTTTAAACTCAAATAAGACAAAGTATATTATTTTTGGTCGCGGTCGCACTAAGGTAACATATCTGACAATTACAACCTTGAATGGTTAATTTATAGAAAGATTAAATGTATTTGGATGGATGAAAGATTAGCTTTTCGTGATAATACCGTATACCGTGATAAAAGCATTAGCAATTAATCGCAACATGAAAATTTGATACCGGCATATCTCTAATCATGGTACTTTTAAAAATGCCATGATACTGAATGATTCCCATATTCATATACCACTGCATTATATGATACTGAAATGTAGAAGATAAACATGCCATATTGATGACTAGGGCCCGGTGCTGCAAAAACTAAATCCACTGAAGAATCAAACAGATTCAGACTTCAGAAGCACGCCGTTCAGCTGATGTATTCCTGTCGTAACATACGTAAATCTCTAACAAATCTGCGCAAAAAGGCTGACGTCAGTGCGCATTCACCACTAGCAAATGTCTCACGTAAATAACCTTGCTCATGCCACTAGTGTAAAAGATTTCCCACGACTACGCAACTGTCGTCAATTGTATACGTAACCTAGAGCCTTAGAACGCTGCTTGCGGATCCCTTCGAGCAGAGAACGGACTTACGTAATAAAACGTGCGTAAGAGATACGTAAATACCAACACCCTGCTATGCACCTGAACCTCTTGAAAAATTATGAATTTAAAATCATTTACATACCGACTCCTCTTCCTTTTCCATTCCGGTTGGCATCTGCGGAACCGCTCGGTTGATGGAGACGCAGTCGGTGAGGTCCGGAAGGTCTTTATTGTGGTAGATCGGCAGCGGTTTGGCGGCGTCTAGCGCTCGCGCGCGGAACGAGAGTTTACTCATTGTTTTCAGCGATCACAAACACACTAAACACGGATCATTCGGGTACAAATACACACACGAGCCGACGGTTCTCTCCGCGGCCGCGCTCACTGACGTCCCTCCAATCGAAATCCGGCGGTTAAAGGCATCTCTGAGCGAGTTCTGGTATTTTTTCACGGGTTTTTTTTTCTAGGCTGGTGTGAAAACATGGCGGACATGATCCCGACAGTCCGCGCGACACTGCCAAAGAGCGTGAGCGGGAGCGCGCGGGTGCCGCTGCGCGCGCACACGGTGTTACGACACGCGGGCACGAGGAGCACATGCGTGCGTCGCAGAGCTGTCACATTATACATTTGTAGACAGTCTGTTACACATCCCCAGTGATGTGTGTAATGTGTTTACATGCCACGCAGCCAAAGATGGCCTACAATACAAAACTGAACCACATATTCAAGATTTTGGGCCACAGAATGTTTAGATTGGAAATCCCATAGGCAGGCCTTGAGCGACAGTTTGTGTATTTGGGGGAGACATGCATCCCTCTTAATAATTAATAATTAAGAGGGATGCATGTCTACCCCAAATGCACATAAACTGTCGATACGAGCCTGTCAATCCAGTCTTATGAGAAAATGTTACTGTTTTATGAGGAGGCAAAGACATTCACACGTAAGTTAAAAAAAAAAAACATAAACATAACGGTCCATCACCAGCCCTATCACTAACCCTAGCCTACTAAAACATAGGAATTGTACAAATTTTGCACGAATTAGTCACCACTCACCAATTTGCCAAAATGTAAAATATTTACAAATTGCAATGACATTATGTTGGTACCTTCACACCCTTCAGGTTAGGCACCATATTGAATTTAACATGAATGTTTAAAAACTAATTTTTACAACGAACAACTTTCAAAACTGTTTATAGATTTCTTGTCTAGAAAGACATTTTGCTGGCTGAACAACCAGTATGTTGTGAAACAACAGTACAATCTATTCAACGCATTGTACTTCTTCATTCCTGTCAAAAAATAAATATGGCGTATTCTGACTAAGTTGTTTTATTACCAATAACGAAAGTGAAGAATTGGGCCTGCTTGCTTTATGACATTTACAAACTCATTCAAATTCCATTAAATACAAGTAAAATCCATAATTACTATGGATTATTCCTAAAAATTGTGGTTGTTTTTACTACTGTTTTGTCACTAAATTTAAACCAGTGAACCAACAACACATATGTAACCCTGGACCACAAAACCAGTCATAAGGGACAATTTTTTTTAAATTAAGATGTATACATCATCTGAAAGCTGAATAAATAAACTTTCAATTTTTTTTCCCACAAACAAATCTAAATATTGAGAAAATCGCCTTTAAAGTTGTCCAAATTAAGTTCTTGGAATGCATATTACTAATCAAAAATTAAGTTTTGATATATTTACGGTAGGAAATTTACAAAATATCTTTAATTAATATCCTAATGATTTTTGGCATAAAACAGAAAATGGTAATTTTGACCCATACAATGTATTGTTGGCTATTGCTACAATATACCCATGCTACTTATGACTGGTTTTGTGGTCCAGGGTCATGTTCAATTCAAATGCAGTTATTTTGTTGCTGTGTTCTTATGTGCCTATAGCTCAAATGATCAAAACGTACTCCACATATTTTATTGTGATTATGGTTACTCTGCTTTTGAGTACATACTGTAATCACAGTAGCCTTTTCTGTTGACATAAGTTTCTTAAATAAATAACTTCCATCCTCCACCATGTTCGATTTCTGATACTGGAATTTGAGATTCATGTGCAGTCTGGTAGCAGGCGGTCAGCCTGCAGAGAGGAAAGTGTATTGGGAGCTGCTTGGAAAAAGTTACCTGCTAAGACACAAATCATTTTTAATGAGAGGAACGAGAAGAGCGCAGAGGCAATCCTATAAAACAGTGGTGGAGATGTGAGATGGATAAGTGGAGAGTGTCTGAGGGCTGCATTGGGTGTTTCTCTGGAGAACATTTCCTATATTGCTTGCACACACTAGGAACAGTAAATTAATTGAAACATTTATGTTGTACGCTACTGTTTAAAAGTTTGGGGTAAGTACGTTAGTCCTTTTTTAATTTCTGTTACAAAAAATTATATTTCAATTAAATGCTGTTCTTTTGAACTGTGTATTCATCAGAAAATCTTCCCTGTTGGAAAAAAAACAGCATATGCTGGTTAGGTATGTTTTGAAGCATGGTAGCTGGTTTAAGCTGGTCCTTAGTTAGCAAAAGTCTTTGAATCACTGATAAACGATCAATTAAAACAATTCTGTCAGCCAAAATAATATTCTTCAGGATTATCAGTCAGGGTTCAGAATGGGACATAGCACCATTACTGCAGCTACATTAGTCTCAAATGATATTATAACCTCTCTAGATAGTAAAACGTCCTGTGCCGCTTTATTTATTGATCTGTCTAAAGCTTTTGATTCAGTAGATCACAAATTAATGTTACATAGACTTAGGTATGTAGGTCTCAGTGAAGCTGCTTTAAAATGGTTCGAAAACTATCTTTCAGAATGCACTCAATGTGTGTCTGTTGAAAATTACAACTCACCTTTTCTTCATGTAAATACTGGAGTTCCTCAAGGATCTGTTTTAGCCCCTTTGTTATTTTCTATTTATATTAATGATTTAGGTCATGGAATAGACTCAGCTAAAATACATTTGTATGCAGATGATACAATTATTTATATGGCAGCATCTTCTTTAAAACAAGCTTTACAGCAACTACAGGATGCTTTTCTAATTTTGCAGAGTTCGTTGTTGCAGTTCAAATTGGTTTTAAACTCAAATAAGACAAAGTATATGATTTTTAGTCGAGGTCGCACTAAGGTAACAGATCTGACAATTACAACCTTGAATGGTTCACTTATAGAAAGGGTTAGTTCCTATAAATATCTAGGTATTTGGATGGATGAAAGATTAGCTTTTAATTTACATATTGATAAGTTGTTGAAAAAGCTTATACCAAAACTAGGCTTCTTTTATTGTCTAAATATCGTCTTTCCCTTATAAGGCCCACAAGAAATTAGTAGAGAGTACATTTTTATCAATAATTGATTATGGTGATCATTTATATATGCATGCAGCTACTTCTTTACTTAGAAAATTAGATTCTGTTTATCGTGCAGCATTACGTTTTGTCACTGGTGCAGAGTCACGGACGCATCATTGCATTTTGTATGAATCTTTAGATTGGTTATCTTTACATCAAAGGAGAAAGTTACATATGTACTTATTTATCGTAAAGGCTAGGTCAATTACCATCTTATATTTCTAATTTGTTAACGATCCATATAAATAGTCACTGTACTAGATCAGGTTCTTGTATTCGGTTAATAGTTCCAAGGGTATTGTCAAAATTTGGTAAATGTGCTTTCTCCGTTTATGCGCCTTGGGCCTGGAATGAATTGCAAAATGTAATTAATCTTGACACATTTCCAACATTGAGTACTTTTAAATGTCTTTTGTATAATGTTTTAAAGGATACTTGTAATTGTTTTTCATGATCTGATTTTATTTATGAATTGTGATTGTGTAATTTGTGGTACTGTCTCTGTGATTCTTTTTGTATGAAACTTTATGTGTTGCCGACTTGACCAGGTCTCGCTGGAAGAAGAGATAGCAATATCTCAATGTGATTTCCTGGTTAAATAAAGGAATAATAATAATAATAATTAGTTGGTCATGAGCTGGTTTAAGCTGTTCATGAGCTGGTCCTGAGCAGGAGCTAGTAGCTTAGGACCAGTTTATGACCAACTAAAGACCAGCTTAAACCAGCTACCATGCTTCAAAACACACCTAACCAGCATATTCAGATTTTTTCAACTGGGTTAAATTTATTTTATTTTTTTTTACAGTTTTGACAAAATTAAAGGGGTCATATTATGCTTTTTTAAAGATCATTATTCAACTTTAGGGATCTTATCTATGCACAATCAGCTTGTAACACTCCAAAGAGAAAGGAAAACTTGAAATCGCATCATATGACCCCTTTAAGCAGCATAACTACAAAACATCAGTGATTTGCATGATTAGTCCACAACTGTTTACAAGAATGATATTGTAAAATAATACTGCATTTGTGCCTGTTTCATCGCATAAATTGACTGGTATCACTAGGCCAACATCAATGAATTGAACAAAAATGTTTAACTATGAAATGGAAGGAAAAACATCTAATTGTAACCATCAGTGAAATATGAAACCTAGACTTCATAGAAAGAAGGTGCATGGAAAAATTATGTTCTGGAAAGATTCACATTTCACAAATGAAAAATGTTATTCCCTGTTTGCATGTGCAATGGGTTACACATAGTTATAGAAATATTGTTTGCTTTAGTCATACTAATCACTGACAAATGTTAATTTATGATGTTTACACACAGACACACTGCAACCAGCTTGTTAACGTGTTGTTTTGAATCTAAAACCAATATTGAATGTGTGTCTGATTTGTCTCCTGACTGTTTTTCTCTTGTTCAAGACATTTCACCACTCATAGAGCTGGTTATGGTGGCGATTCCCCATCATTTAAGCTTAAAACACACAATCCCGAGCCTCAAGACAATTCATTGTTGAAGTCATTGCAGGCATTGAGATCCCAGGTGTGAATTAGTGTAAACTGCTGGGATCAGGATGAAAGGTAAGTAAGTAGCTAATAATAGCATCACAGGCTTCAACGGCTGTTCCACTTTGTCACAAATGGTCATCTTCCTTTTTTAAATTACCCCTTTCTTCTCCAAAACTTCAACTGGAATATCTGTGTATGTGTGAACCTTGTGTTTTAGTGTAGTCCGTAAGGTGTTTCAGACTCTCTGTGCTGTGACAGCTATGATGTTCCTCATTACTGTACTGCATATTTTGCTCTTCTTTCCCCTCAGGGCCCAGTTATTTGGGTACACCGGGTCCTGGACCTTCTCTGCCAAGTCCTTGGAGTTCTGGATGTGATGTTCCACGTCGCCAAATAATGGTGACAGGAATGTGACCAAGTGTCTCGCAGTGTTGTACGAGTAGGAGTTTATATACTCCTCTTTATTTTTGGGAGCCCGTATGAACACTAAGAAGATTCCCTACGATAAAAGCAGGAGTAGAAGTTGCAGTTGGTAGCTTTTTCTAGGACTTAGCGAATCCACATAGCGTGCAAATGAACTAAACACCACCTGAATTATATATCATGAGCTACGCGCAATCACTGAGGGGGAACGGTGAGCCCAGAGGCCTTCGTGATATTGTGACGTGCATGGGCCACAGGCATTACTAGACCCAATTTCATCTCAGCTCAAGTGTGAACGTGCATTCACTGTGCAATGTTTTTAGGCGACTTCATTTTGGTCACGTGATACTGACATTTCAGTCTGAAAGTGTAAAGGGAGAAAAGTAAGTCACCGCTTCTATTCAAGATTCAAGCGGCTTTATTAACATATAAAGGCTTCTCATTGCCAAAGTATTGGTAACTTTAAAGACATACACATTTACAAACGATTAAAAAACACAAATTAACAATGAGAGGGGATATTCAAGCTTAACAGAAAAATTAAGCACAGTCAGTTCTATAAAGCTGCTTATGGGTCTATTATATTCATCTGTACTGCAACACTTTATGAGTTTGGGGGTTATAATTTTCCATTTTGCCTGTGGAGAGGAGACAGTTTTACTTTTTTTCACATTTATCCACCAAACACAGAAATATACCTTCTGGATTGAACATAAAATTTCCTTCATAAAAACTGGAGACTACCTTATACATATTCAGTGGTGGACTGATCTTAAATGCCAAAGCCTTTTTGATAGTTTCAGTATTCAACTTATCAATAAACTAGTTGATTTTTGAGTAAATGTATTTTACCTGACCACAGTAAAATACATTTGCTCAAAAATCAACTAGTTTATTGATAAGTTGAATACTGAAACTAGATCTACATTTGTTGACAAGATTTTTGGGGGGATCATGGTATGTGTTTATGTTGTATCCTGTCATGATATGAATTTATGCATGTTACTAGTTTTTGAGCACATTTCCAGATCTATAGTTGTGGTTTGGACAGTTGGATTGCAATAGATCCAATATGTTGTGGTTGAATTAACATTTGGCTTTTCAGAAAGCTATCTGTTCTGCCCAAGACAAATAAATACATTTTATGTGTGAATGGAGAGCTTCAAATGCAAAACCTTGCTGCAACTAACATTAAAATGGTCACATCAACAGTTTTTCAGAGTTGATCTGGAGCCATGTGCTCAAATACTATATTTTTTAAAGGCAGATGTTCATTTTCATTACTATAGCACTATAGGGAAAAAATTAAGATCATGTTTAATATTATTTGATTTTATTATTTATTAATATTTTGAATTGTCCTTTATATATATATATATATATATATATATATATATACACACACACAC